AGCGCGGAGGCCCAGGTGCGCCCGGGAAGCCGGGGGTGGCGCCGAGCCGCTGGGGCGGCCGAGTGCACCGGCCACCCGTCCCCGCGTTCCAGGTCCCGGGACTTTGTGCTTGCTTGCTTTCGAGAAATACCAAAAATTAGCCTATCAACTGGGTTTTCTGACACTAAAAGACAAAAAGGGGAGTGGAAAGTGGTTTGGGAAGAAAGGAAGGGCCCCCCAACAGTGTTAGGGTTGTCAGCTGATCTTCAAAAGAGGTGATATTGCTGAGTCCTGGAAGACCAGGAACCAGCCTTAGCAGCCTTCACCCTGTCCCGGGGGTTTCCCTGAAGAACAAGGTCCGGGTGCTTGGAGCAGAAGGAGGGTGGGCTGGTGAGGGGTAGGGTATGAGGCTGGAGAGGTACCGGGGACCTGGTGGGCCTTTAAAAACGGTGGGAAGCATGATTTGTTTTATACCTTTAAAACACCAGCCTGGCTGCCAGAGTGGGAGAGTCCATTATTCAAGGGCACAGAGACCAACCAGTAAGGAGGTGGTTCTAGTTGTCCATGCATTCAGCGGATACCTGTCACGTTGGACACTGTTGGGGATACAGGAGGGATGAGAACAGAGTACCTGCCCTCCTAGCACCTACAGTCTAGTTTAGACTACAGTGGTGCCTTGGAGCTTTTGTGGGTAGGGCGATGGAGAGAAGCTGTGAGGGTGCAGTGCTCATGGGGAGTGCCTGGGGAAGGGGAGCCTGCGGAACTGACTGACGGCTGCTTCAACATTGTTACATGTATGTTATTATTGAAACAGACAAACTGATGTAGAAACCAAGCTATGGTGTAAAAGAAAATGTGACAGATTCATAGTAAGTTAAGTCCAAAAAGTGGAAAAGATAACTCACAGCCTATGTGGCAAGAGATTAGTGCCCTAGCCGGTTTGGCTCAGTGGTTAGAGCGTGGACTGAAGGGTTTCCAGTTGCATTCCTGTCAAGGGCACATACCTCGGTTGCAGGCTTGATCCCTGGCCCAGTTGGGTTGGGGCGCGTTTGGGAGGCAACCAGTTGATGTGTCTGTCTCTTCCCCTCCCTTCCACTCTCTCTAAAAAATCAATGGAAAAAGTTTCCTCGGGTGAGGATTAACAAAGAGATTAGTAATCTTTATATATGTATGAGCTCTTATATCAGTAAGAAAAACGGGGATGATTTCAGAGTAGAAAAGTAGGCAAAGGACATGAAGAAGGAATTCATTTAAAAAGAAAACCTAATGGCTGGTATGAAAGTTAAAACTACAGTAGGTGGTTTCTGCCTGGCAAAATGTCAGAAGTGTTGATAGGGGTTTGGAGGGTCAGGGGTCCTTGTGCATTTTGGTGGAGTGTGAGGTGTTCTGATTGTCTAAATGTCAAATGCATATCCATTGACCCCAGTTTTACTTCTGGAAGTTTATCCTAGGGAAATAATTGGGTAATGGAGCACAGTTAAAAACTGAAAATTCTATTTTGTCACTGTGATAGTGCAAACACTGAAAGTGTCCTAAATTCCACTAATAGACATTTGACCAAATAACTTCTTCCACACAGTGGAGCATTACATAGCCATTAAAAAGAATAGATAGCCCTACCTTGTTTGGCTCAGTTGTTAGAGCATCGGCCCGAGGACTAAAGGGTCCTGGGTTTGATTCCAGCCAAGGGCACATACCTTGGTTTCAGGCTTGATCCCTGGCCGAGTTGGGGCGCGTGCAGGAGGCAGCCAATCAGTGTGTCTCTCTCACATTGATGTTTCTTTCTCTCTTCCACTCTCTCTGTAAAGCAATGGAAAAACATATCCACAGGTGAGGATTAAAGAATAGATAGTAACGTATCCTGGCTTGGAAAAATGCCTCAGTGAAAAATGCAAGAAGTATAAACTAGCTGGTAGAAGTTATTCCATCTTTAGGGAAACATGTGATGGCTCTAAAATTTTAGGCCTAAAATTGTGTTGGGGAAGCTGTTAACTTCACCTCGGGGATGGAGGTCTGGAAGTCTTTCATATTCTACTTTGCATTTCTGATCACTTTTTAAACAAGAACAAAAACATCTACTTGAGACGATAGAACTTAAGAAGATGACTGAGAAGGTGGAATATGTGTAAAGAGGCCAGCATAGACCCTGACACCTACCAAAGGGCCCTGTGACATTTGTGATGAACTGCCCTGTGTTTGAGGAGAGTAGCATCTGTGGTCTGGACTCCTCACCTGTCCAGGGCTCCCTTGCCTGATCTTCCTCCCTCTGGCCTCTTTCAGACTCTCATCTCTTCTTCCAACTCAGCCACCAGCCAGCCTTAGGAGGTGAATCTGATTAGGCCAACCAAAGGCATCAAGCCTTGAGACCCAGGAGAAGATATTTTTTAAATGTCCTCAAATTATGGTGATCTACACAGTACAGTTGACCCTTGAACAACATAGGCTTGAACTGTGTGCCTCCACTTACTGTGGATTTTTAAGTGGACCTGCGCTGTTCAAACCTGTGTCATTCAAAGGTCAGCTGTACTTTCCACCCACAGTTGGGAATCCACTTGTGCAGAGGGCCAACTTAAGTTATACAGATTTTCAACTGTGTGGTGGGTTGTCACCTCTAACCCATGTTGTTCAAGGGTCAGTTGTTTTTCATGGTAGCTTGGGAGAAAGCATGATCTAGATGTGTGTGCTAATATGGAACAGCTACCAAGATGTAATAGATGGAAGCAGTTTCGCAATGGTGTGTACCATACGCTGTTTGGGAGGCTGCTGAGGAGGAGGGAGGTACAAGGGCCATGTGAGGTGGGAAGTGACTGGGGTCTTCCTTGCACAGCAATCCCTCTGTAACAGCGAGCGTGGGAGAGTCCAGGCTGCAAGAAAGCACACCCTAGTGTGGACCCTGCGGCAGAGCCCTCCTGCAGACTGGCATCTCCCTCTACCACAGGAAGAGAAAGACGAGTGACAAGCACCCCTGCACGGCTTCCTCCGGACTGTTTCAGGTGGGGCTATTGCATCACCTAAGGACTCTGACTGGCCCAAACATTCCAGTACCTGGGAGCTTCTGCCTGGCTTAGAACATGGAGCTTGACACCTCCAACGCTACTTGCCCACCCTCACCGGCATTCAGGGTGCCCCACTGCTGCCATGCTCTGGAAGACACCTTTGCCCACTTGCACAGCTTCCAAGAAGGCAAGCACCATTGCAGATTGCTGTGGGCAGCCAGGTTGGGCTGTCTCATGTTCCCCTGCCAGGGGCAGTAGCACAGGAGATGGCTATCCTAAGGTCTAGAATTCTCAGGTAAACTCTTGAGTAGTGGCCCTGACCAAAGTGGACCTATAGAGGTAACTAAATGGTTGTGCGCCATGAACACCTTATCTGGCCCTGGTTTGGTGATGACCATGCATCGCCAGCCACTGGTGCTCACATTTGGCTATGGCCCACTCACTCAGTTCCTCTGCAGACACAGGTTGGGCATACCTCTGGACCAGCAAGCTGCACCTTCTAGGTTCATAGGAAGTGAGATTCTGGTTTTTAAGAAATGCACACAGCTACAGAATAAACCATCTTGCATAAAAAGGGTTCATGGACTCTTAGCTGAAAAAACCCAAGCCCAGGACATATGGAATTTTGGTCTGCTGCCCTCAAAATTTTTAGAAAATGTGGAATATGTGAAAAGCCATTTTACACATTAGATTCCAAATAGAAGCTGAAAATTAAATCAACAGTTTAGTCATTGAGATTGTTAAATTCTGCATATGATGTACTTGGACAGTGTTAACATGAGGTCATTAGGGTGGGCCATAATCCAATACTGCCATGTGAGGACACAGCGAATAGGTGGCCATCTACAGGCCAAGGACAGAGGCCTTCAGAGAAACCACCCCTGCTGGTACCTCAATCTTGGGAGGTCTAGCTTCCAGAATTGTGAGAAATGTCTTTCAGTCATGAAGTCTGTGGCATTTTGTTCTGGCAGCCCCAGCACACTAATACAGTCACCATCCCAGAGTAACAGCAATTCAAAGGAGTCCTCAGCCCCAGGTGTCCCACCCTCCTGTGGGACACAGCAACTTTGTTAATTAATGTGTCTCTGGCTTGCTCCACTCTCTTCAGTCCCCCTCCCCAGCTTAAAATGCTAAGTTGGTGTCCTGATGATGTGAGGAAGTTCATGTGTTCTGTCTGCCCCACCTGTGCACACAGCCTACACATCCTTCACCTTTGTTTATTGCGGTCATTTTGTGCCTCCTGCTAGGGTCATCTGCCCCACAGGACTGGACTCTTCCTTTTTACTGGGGTGGAAATGGTCATCGCTTAGTCATCCTCTCTCCAGTACCTGGGGAGTGGAGAGGGATGGGGGGGACACCTGTAAGAGTGTAAACAATTAAAGTAAAAAAGTAAATTTTAAAAAAAAGGGCAGCATATCTCACCCCCATCCATCCTCAGGTGAATTAATTATGACTCTAACAGACAAAGAGACACTTGATTAAACTTACATTTATTCTCAGCATGCCTAACTCTGTGACAAACAGGCTTGAGCTCTGGTGGTTCTGGCTGTCAAGGGTAGCATGTTCAGATAGCTGCCTGCAGCTCTATCTTTTGAACTCCACCTGTGTGTACACCTTGGTGATATCATGGTACCTGCCTTCAGGGGGCTGATAGTTGGAGATCGGTGGTGTGTAATCTGGCCCTTCTCTCTCAAAGGGGAACAGACTGGGGTCCCGCTTGATAGCCTCCATATGGAGCTCCTTGGACGTGAGTTGTAGTTCCTGCAGAGCTTCCTGCTGGGCCTCAAGCATGGACTTGATGGCTTCCCTCTCCATCTCATGCTCTCGCTGCTTGTACAGGGACCACTTCTTCAGAAGCAAAGCTCTCCGCTCAGCCTCCTCAAAGGAGAGCTCTACCTGAGGCCGCTGTCTGGGAACACACAAATCCAAAGGTGTGAAGCTGAGGAGCACTGACCTCACTGACCAACAAGTCTCGGTGACTGCATATGGCCCAAGCACCCTCCATGCCAGACACAGTTGGAATTTAGGACAAATTAAGGAATGGGATGTTGAATGTGGCAACAGCCGCAATTGACACTAAGAACCAGTGCCATTTGCTTTACATGGAGATTAGAGACAGTGATCCTCTGAGAAGGCTATGATAGCACTTCCTCTTTCCCAGGCAAAGACGACCTTTGGTGAGAGGTGACTTCGGAGAAAAGTGAAATGGTATAATGAAAACGGACACCAAAATTCCAGGGAGTCAAGAGCCTATATCAGACCTGGAGTACCAAAAGACACCTGCTGTGTCCCACTTGTATGGCAAGGTGCTACTTTATAAATAGTACACTTAAAAGATGCCAACTCTGCACATAACATCCTAGCTATGAGCTTTTGCATCACAAAGCAAGAGGCTAAGAGTTTTCTACCATCAGGATGGACAAGGCCTGCAGGCCTGCAGACCCAAGGCCCAAGTTGTGACAACTACAACTTCTCTTGCAAAAGAGCAACAATATGAACTTTTGAGCAGTGCTGATACGAACCCACTCAAGCATCTGGCCTGGCTTATCGAACAATTCTGAGTTTCTTTCCCACATTCAGCCATTCAAGAGCACCACACAGGAATGTTTTTCAACTCTCAGGAGACACGAGAAAAGGACTCAGCCCAGGGCCAAGTCAGCCCAAGCCTACTTACCCCTTCCCATCACTGGTGTGAAATACAGGTAGAAGTACCTTTAGGTGATGGAACTGCTTTGTCCTGAGGACCTCAACCCTACAGGACTCTTACCTCACTTGATCCAAGAACCTCACAGGTGTAATAAAATCTTCAATGGGAATTAGCTCCTGGCTAGCCTTTTCTAGTTTTCGGATCCTCTTTTTCAAACGGTCCTTTACAGCTTGGTCTTTTTTAGGATCTACCTTCTTCTTCTTTCGCAGAGGTTCTGCTCTAATAGATAAAGCAAACATTAAAAATTTTCCTTTTCAGTTTCACAAACATGCTGAGAGACATGGCACTATGTAAAGTACCCCAAACTTGTACTGAGCTCTCCACTGGGGAATGAACTGTGAATGGTCCTGCCTCGTAAGCTGAAAGTGGCAGGGAGATGGATGGCCTCCACCCCAGAGTCCTTGTGAGAACTGTGTAGGCACTGTCAACCCAGGAAAGGGTGAAAAAGCTTCATGGGGCTTCGGGGTATAAATTAAAGGGAAGTGCTCATCTTTAGTGCTGGAGTTCAGGTGTGCCTTGGCATTGCACTGAAAAGTGAAAATACCAAATTGATGAGTTAGAAGCCAGTTACTCACATCTTGAATGGACCTGTGACTTATAAAAATGATTTCAGTAAGACTTAAAAGAGAGCATAATAAAAATGACTGGCATGTCCCTAGTTTTGGGGATTTCTTCAGTGAGCCCATCCTAGAGCATTCACAAACGTCTGATTTACTCTCAGGAACACATCTATGGTGATAATTTAGTATTAAGAATAGTCAAGTCCTCTAGCATCAAGACCACATTTCTTGAATCAAGTCCTAGAAAGCATCCAGAGTTCCAGGTGGAAAAACTAGTCCTCATACCTCCCCCCACTTATCCAGGGAGTCAGAAATGGAAGACCCATGGAGAACAGTTCATGTTTTGCCCTTTAAAAACCACAAGATCCATTCAAAGCTAATTAAATTTTATTTAAACTACTTCTACATTTAATACTTGTTTTCTGATTACACACACAGCAGTATTCCAGAGAATGTTGAAAAGGCAGAAAAACATCTGCCTAAATTTAACTGAGAAATTTTGTAGGCTATTAGTTTTGCAAACCAAAACGTAGTGATTTGTTCTGTTCAACACATCTATCTCCCGCTGACACCTCCAAAGAGTTCAGACCCACATTTGAGTTTACCTCATGGGAATGAGTTCCCAGAAAGACAACAATGAAGCTCGCTGGTGGGTGTTTCTAATCTGTGTCTGCCAAATTCCCAGAGGCCTGAAAGAGATGAGTGTATATAAATATCTGATTCTCCCCACTAAACAACAAAAATTTGCAATGCCCTCAAAACCTAATTTACTTGTAACTACTAGATGTGACAGCAAGGTCAATGTGGGAGATTTTACAAAATCCCCCATTCAGATCAGAGAGCAGTTGGGCAGAGTCTCTGCTCGCCCGAGTCCTCGGATTTTTACCAACTGGAAGAGGTGGGATCAGCCCGCTTAGTCCTTAGGTATCCGTGGACAGGGCGGCCGGGGAGAGAGCGCAGGCGAGGCCGGGGGCAGCCGGTGCGGATTGTCCCGCACGCGCCCCAAACACCCCGCGAACGGTCAGAGGTCCACACTCACCAGCACGGCGAACGTAGAGCGCGCGAGATAGCTCTCAGCACGGTGGCGGCCATGGCTCCAAAGGCAGCCGACCGGCTGCTTCCGGGCGCGCACCTCGGTGGTCCGGCCGTCCCGTCGATTCGCACGCTAGCGTTCCGACCTGGGGCGCGAGCTACGGAGGACTAGGTCACGTTTGGTCCCGCCCGGCCGTGGCAGCGGCGTGCGAGCACGCCCCCAACGGTGGGCTGGATCTCGCCTGGCCCTGCCCCAGGCGCGGGTGTGGTTCCTCTCTCTCTTTCTCTCGACTCCGCCCCGCACGTCACTGCCCCACCTAATCGGCTCGCACCCTTGCGAAAGCCAAGACCACAGTGCAGCCGGAGTGGCCAAAGGAATGTCCCTCTATTCCAGGTCTAAGTGCCCCCATCTGTGAAAACGGTCCCGATCTTCCAATAAACACACCGCCTCGGCTTCCACCGTGACCCTCCCCGAGGCTGGGTTATCCCCTGCATTCGTTCAAGCTCGGGACCGCGGCCGCCCGCCTGCCGGCGGCTGTACCCGGGCGCCCGCACGTGGCCTGGCGCTCGCGAGATGCTCAGTAAACGCGTGTTGATGAGTGACGGAAGCTAGTTAATTTGTCGGACTGGTAACCAGCGCTGTAGAGCTAGAGAGAGGCGGTCAACGGTACTCCGACCCTGTCTGGCACAGCTGGCCTGGGCTGCAAATCGAGGCCCCGCTCTTCCGTGGAGGTCCCAGCCAACCCTCCCCCTCGTCCGCCGCTGCGCCAGGGCTGGCACCCGAAGCGGAGCAGCCCTGCGCTGCCCCTGCCCGCAGAGGAGCCTGGGCGGCCCCGTCCGCGCGGGGAGCGGTTTCCCGCCGGGGCGATTTGGCAGGTGCGCGCCGTGACTTCCGGCGTTGCCCGGGAGCCGCCGGAGGAGGAGCGGCGCAGGGGATGCGG